AGGTTGTTGTTGATCATGTTGATGGACAAAATCACAGGTGGGGCTACTACATGGGGTCCATACTTGGACAGTTGGACTCACATTTGGTTGCACCTTTAGGGCCTTCACTAAATCTAAGAGCATAATGGAAGTAAATATTATGATAATATAAAAATGGCAAGAAAGATTAAAGAGGGTGTTTGATAATCAGTTTATCAATATTATCAACCAACTTTTAAATTAGATACACAACTTTTATTTTCACACGTTGAATCATGTAATAATTAAATAAGTAAAGTTAGAAGTACTTTTCTGACTGAATTGACTAAATTTGCTAAATACTAGTATTTTAGCTAATTTTCATATTTTTTTCTTTATTCTATAAATATAGTATATTTTAAATTTAATTATTACTTAATTCAGCCAAGATTTCATCAAATTGAGCATATGTTGTCAATTCAACCAATTTTAATGTTATCAAATGAACTCAAAATAACAGTAAAGGGTAGCTAAAAGAAGATGAAGTAAAGATATATATTGAAATAATGGCATATATTACATAAATTTAGATGGTGGATAAAAATACAACCTCTTATATATACAGTGGTTTTATTAATAATTTTTAATGGCTATGGCTATGGTGAATTTTGTACCGAAGTTATCAATTATCATGACCGTTTGCTCATTCTATGATAACGGTAACTTTGGTCACACTTTTTTTATCATAACTTTGGTCACACTTTAATTCATGAGTTATATTTATATCAATATTCTATGAAAAACCTCATACTCCTTCCATCCCAAATTAATTGTCTTGTTTACTTTAGCACAAGTTTTAGTAAAATGGTTGAATATATAAAAGATGTGATTGAGATTTGAATAAAAAAGGTGAATTAATAAGAGTTATATATTATTGTCAAAAGAGAAAACAACAAGACAACTATTTTGGAACATCCCAAAAAGGAAAACAAGACAATTATTTGGTGAGGGAGGTAGTGTTTTTATATGAGACTATGAGTATGAGAGTAGTTGTCAAAAAATGGAACAAGTAAAAACGAACAAAAGTAGTGAGATTTAATTGCTTTGGGCTTGTAATCAATTCAATGCATTCTGTCCAATGCCGGCTCTGTAAATGCATTGTGTCTTACTGTCTTATAAGAAGATTCTGGATGGATGGTGTCCAACCAAAACGTTACAATTAGCATGAACTTACAGTGTTAAGTAATCTTATTTAGCACAATAAGTTTCATGTCCCCAATCCCGATTAGGATCAACGTGAATTGACTAGGATTAACGTGGCAAAAATGATGGTGGTGGTGCTTTAAGTAAGGTCTCTACAAAATGGATAAGCTCTATGGTTTAATGTATGTATTACAGTAGAAATTCGGTAATGTTGTTGAAAGTTATAATTAGCAATCCGAAATATATGACAACTGCATGGGGTCAGACAAAGCCACAAATGCAATGACAAGTAGCTGCTCTCATGTTAATACATAAAAAAAAGTTTTCCTTGATGTGTCAAGTTCTATAGTTCTATTCATCTAAAAAACAGGAAGGGGAGATGAGGCTCTTGGACTCATGTACTGGAGATGGATCAACAGATAGGCACGGAAAACCGGCACTGAAAAGGAAAACTGGTGGATGGAGATCAGGAATCCTGATATTAGGTACATAGAAAGAGTACTCGGTGTCTAATGTATTGGTTTGTATTTTTATGATCCGTACTATATTTCACCAAGCAGTAACAGTTCAAAAACAAGCGGTCTTGAAACAAATTTGTTCAGTTAATAGTTTAATACTGAAGGGATAATCAATATGTTGTTTGGTTGATGCAGCCAGTGAGGGATTGGCTACACTTGCTTTCACAGGAGTGGAAGTGAACATGGTCCTTTTCTCCAAGTCTGTGATGAGAAAATCAAACGCAGATGCTGCCAACTTCTTTAGCAGGTGGATGGGTACCCTTTACATTTTCTCCCTCTTAGGAGCTTTCCTCAGTGATTCTTACATGGGAAGATATCTCACTTGTATAATCTTCCTTGTTGTCATGAACTTTGTAAGTCAAGTTGCACTCTATCAATACTCTTCTGAATATCCCGCCTTGCTCATCCTAGGACCTGTTTAGGCGTGAGGCCTTATTTGACATGAAAATCTCTAAACCAATCCTGCAACTCAAAGACGGGGACATTTGTAGTCCTGTACTTTCAAGCTAGACACCTAATGCTTGCCATTTCAGAGGCTTCCTACATGGAAACTTTTTACTTTTAAATTTTGTAGTCTCAAAATATACCCATCACGCAGGACGGCAGGAGAGTTGTAGACTATACGAATCTGGTCAAACCCCCAAAATTTGTGTCAAGTTTTAAGTGTCCCACAGGCCACATATTTCATTTTCTTTGCATGATTAAAGTGTTCCACGTTGTATGTATACCATATCTATATCTAAATTAAATTGTATTTAAGTATGAGGTAACCGTCACCTACTGAAAATCATTTTAGGATGAGTGAGACCTAAATTAAATGGCATCGCAGACTGCTCTGTTAAGGTTTGTTTATTTGTTTGTTAAATGGCCATTGCTTGAGGTCGCTAATTTGGGTCAGTTTGATCCATTTATCCACCTACCAAGTTGTCATGCCTGCTTTGTACTTAGGAGGTGTGCAAAGTGTCTCACACCAAATGTTTGCCAGAATGTCTTGCCTCTTAAGAATCCTTTATGGTGAGTTAGGCCTAAATGCCTAATACTCCCTCCGTCCCAAATTATAAGATATTTTTCGGTTTACGATGTTTAATCGACGATAAAGCAAACAGATCTTTGTCTACACTCAAATTATTTTTAGAAAAAAAAATTACATATTCAGAAACTACATTAAAACCGCTACAAAACCTGCAAAAAATAATTCAAATTTCATAAAATTTTGATATATAAAGTAAGAGATTAAGAGTGATTTGTGTTGACCAAGTGAATAGTAAAGATATCTTATAAATAGGACAGAGGGAGTAATAAATTGCAGCTAGCAGACGATTATCTAGTGAATTAAGTGAAACCAATAGGGAAACAGTTCTTTTGTGTGTGCAATCTTTCAATGTGGGTGGGGGGGGGCAAAGATGTCACAGCATGAAAAACTGTGACTAAAAATGATTTTAAAGCTATGCATTTTGTATGTGAAGCACCTGAAGTGAACTGGTCGACTTTGCAGGGGTTGGTGGCACTGTCATTGCTAACTCACGTGTTCATGCTTGTGCCAAAAGGGTGTGGAAGGATAGGAGAAGTATGTGATCAACAATCAATGGTTGAAGTTGCAATGTTCTACGTGTGCATGTATTTACTAGCAATTGGAAGTGGGTCCATAGAACCTGTACTAGCAACCTTAGGAGCAGACCAATTCGACGAAGAAGATCCTGAGGAGAGCCGATCGAAGACCAAATTCTACAGCTACTATTACGTTGCGTTAAACCTCGGATCCCTTGTGGCAGAAACAGTTTTGGTGTATATGGAAACTTTAGGCAAATGGGTGTTTGCCTTTTGGATATCTACCTTCTGTGGGTTTGCTGCATTGAGTTTGTTGATCGCAGGGGCATATCGGTATCGTCACATCCGGCCGTCGAAGAACCCTGTGTGCAGGTTCTGTCAGGTGATTGTGGCTTCTCTGAGAAAATTAAAGCTTCAAGTTCCATTGAATGGAGAAGGGTTGTATGAAGTTCATGGAAGTGCTGATAAATGTAACAGAAGGATCTCTCATACAGATGGTTTTCAGTAAGTTGGTTACTTTGATCTCATCTATCCTCTTTTTTTGAACTATGTTTAAAAAATATTCTCATAACCTGACAAATCACAAACATGACAAATGCTCAATGTGATGGTAGTTGATATTTCTTTTTATCCAAACAAAATACAGGTTTCTTGATCGAGCAGCGATCATGGTCTCCACAGACATGACTTTGTTGCCAGACAAAACTGAAGTTCCAAATCCATGGAGGATATGCACAGTCACCCAGGTGGAGGAGGTGAAATGTGTGCTCAGACTACTCCCAATATGGCTTTGCACAATATTGTCGTCCATAGTGTTCGTCCAGGTTCTCTCCCTCTTTGTGGAACAAGGAGCAGCCATGAACACCAAGATCTTAACCTTCCACATGCCTCCGGCCAGCATGACATCATTCGACATCATCAGCACGTCCACCTTCATCATATGCTACGAGAACATCATACTCCCACTATATGTCAAGTTAATGAAAAGAAAGCCAAAGCCGCCAAGCGAGCTTCAGAGGATAGGGGTAGGTCTGGTCATTTCGATCATTGCCATGGCCATGGCTGGTGTAGTTGAGCAGCAAAGGGTCAGGTATGCTAATGGAGATGAAGAGACGAGTTCGTTAAGCATTTTCTGGCAAACCCCACAGTATGTTCTTGTGGGAATAGCCGAAGCGTTCGTTTACGTCGCACAGTGGGAATTCTTTGCATCACAGATCCCAGACAGTCTCAAGAGTATGGGGCTCGGCTTGTCTATGTCCTCTTCCGCCTTAGGTAGTTACCTGTGCAGTATTTTACTGACTACTGTGATGAAGATCACGGCTAGGGATGGGAAGTCGGGGTGGGTCCCACCGAATCTAAACGATGGCCACCTGGACAGATTTTTCTTCCTGTCTGCTGCTGTGGTTGCGTTGGATCTTCTGTTGTTCATCTTTTGTGCTAAGCGGTACAAAGGTATAGTGCTAGAAAAACGGGAGGAAACAGTTGAGACTTATAGCTGAAGAGTATGTTGTTATTCATCCCATAGGAAGAAGAAAAACATGTAGAAAAATTAAGTGTAGCATGAAAAAGTTTAAAACTGAAATGAGTTTATTGCAAAAAAGGGTTAGTTTACATATGTGTCCCTGAGAGTTTGGTTAAAATACCAAATGAGGCTCAAAGTTTATGAAAGTTACAACTAAGCTCCCACAGTGATAAGTTTTCAGCAAACGACACATTGATACAAGTAGGAGTTAATTTTTCCAAGACTAAGTTGCAGTCAACTTTTGTGACTAGTACCTTTTTTTTTTACAGAAATCTTTGAAATACTTTAGCAAGTAATATGCATCATAAACATAGAGATGAGAAAAAATGAGGGGCAGATATGTAGAAGAGAGAAATAGACAAATTTTGTGTGTTGTTTGGTATGAGAGAAATGGAGAATGAAAGAATAAAAGTTGAGAAGGAAATCAAGGAATGCATTTTCACTAGTAATTCTTCCCGGCCAAACAAAGGCTAAATTCAAATGAAGAAGCTAGAGCTACAGTACGTTTTATTCATCGCATAGGCCAAAAGTGCACTAAATCGAGTGTACCCTGAAAGTTAAACTGACAATGAGTTTGTTGGAAACTAAATAATGGCCATTATTATTAGACTAAAAGCATAAACTAAATACTAGCAACTAGCAAAAGGGTAGATTGTTACTTGTGTCACTTCGATATCTTAGCAGCCAGTTCTCTAACTAGTTTTGCAGCAACCATAGCGGTCATCCCATCAACAGTGTCACGTTGTGGGTTGAATTCAACGGCATCAGCACCCACAATGTCACCTTGAAGATTGTAGAGTATGTTGAGGATGTCTCGGAAAGAGAGACCACCTGGCTCTATGTGAGATACACCCGGAGCAAATGCAGGGTCAAGAGAGTCTATATCAACAGACACATACACACCCTTCACTCCCTCACCTAGTTTCTGGTGACGAAAAAGCATCAAGAACCATAATAAGTATTATATAAGAAATGATGAAAATGTATAAACTAAAATAAAAGTTTGGACTCTTAATACGGAGTGAGTGAGTGACCCACTGACCATGGTGGCTTTTTTTGCAGAAACTGTAGTGTGACCAAAATGATGTTCAATATTATATAGCACAGAACATGTAGTCATACTTTGGTCCATAAGTTTATTTTAGTAAAATTATAGGAAACCCGTCATTAACTTAGTCCCACTTAAAATGATTCACAAGTTTTAAATAGGTCCAACAACATATTAGGGTTCAAGCATGTGTGTGTGAGAGAGGGAGATGTAAAGGTCGAATGAAGACCAACCAGGTTTTCTAGATATTGGTGGTCTCTGGAAAATGTCCTCATTTCATATAGCTCAGTGCCAAATTTTTTCGCTTGTTCACGGCCTTCCTTTGAGATTGATCTAATCCCAAACTGTGTAACAAGAATATGAAGTTCAGAGAGACACATCAGGTGTGCTAGGGTTAATTTCTTTAGTGATATGTTCTGAATCCTGATCTGATAATGTTCCTATATCATGTCCTGGAATCTATTGCAAGCCACAATTTAAGCTATTCTAGGAAATTGAGAAATTCATGAAGAGTCTGTTTGGTAAGGAAAATGCTAGGTAAAGAAATAGGGAGGAAACGTAGGAGAACATAAAAAAATATGAGGAAAATTAATACTATGAAATCTAAATACATGTAAGAAATTTGAAAAATTAATAACATTCCATTTTCCTTTGCATATTCAAAGGTAAAATCAAGCATATGATAATAACTTTCCTTAGCATATCTTCCCGTTCCCTAGAATGTTACATGAACCAAACATTGCCGAATCCAATAACTTTTAAATGAATCCAGCAAGTAAAAGTATCAATTCTTTCTTTTAAATGCCCAATACTGCATGTAACCACACAATGTGCTCTACACTCTGGCTATACATGTACTATTTAATATTTATCACGGGTATGTTTGGTTTACCTTGAAAAGTGCAAAGAAAAATGAAATACAAATTGCGTTTAATTTTTTTACATATATTAAGATTTCTCAGTTTTGACAATACTAGATAACTCTTCGTATAAATAATGAACAAAATGACTTTGGAGTTTGAATAAATATCTAAAATAATATTATAAAGTTTGAGCTTATCTTATACTTTTCCCAGAAATTTCTTTCCAGATTTCCTCTCTATATTCCTCCCTGTTTACTAGAGTACATCTAAAAAAGACTGCAGATGCTGCAGTTTAGAAATAGAAACTTTACTTGAAAGAGCCGCCTGGCATAACCACCTTCCATTATTCTAGCAAAACTAGAGGCATGCGAGTATTTGTTTCCTTCAAAGGCATGGTAGTTATCAGGGTGAGCATCCAAGTGAAGGATATCTACTTGTCCTCCCAGCTTCTCAGACACAGCTCTCACAACAGGATATGATATTGAGTGATCGCCCCCCAAGACTTAGGGGCACATCGGAACCTGTAGACAAAAAGAAGTATGCAAGTCAGGATATTGACAGCAAGAAAGAATGTACACAATGCCAAAACTCATGTGTCCCTCTCTTTTTAGTATGTCTGATCTGGAGAGCACAGGGAAGCTTGATAGTAAATAAGAAATTAAATCTGTAAGAAGTTGTATCTATGAGAGAAGTAATTATGGGTTATGACAAAGTTCTTCAAAAATATTGACAAAAATATGACAAAAATAAAAGTAATGGACAATAATGTGACTTTGAATAAGCAATGACCATAATGGGATATCAGATGTGACTGCAATGACCTTGGTATCAGATGTGACTGCAATGACCTTGGTAAGGCCCTGGTATTATTGTAATAACTGTGTAATAACATTTTTGTCCACAAGTTCTACTTTACTAATATCCCAGAAAAAAACATTTCTCTACATAAGTACTATAACAGTTTTTAGAAATTGCCACATTGTATGTTAAAAGCCATAAAAAAGAAGTATTTTATTACTTGATAAAATTAACAAATAGAGGGATTCAGCATGCTCTGGCAATCAGCAGAACAGGACGATTCTGCCAATAATATGTGACTAGTAAAAAATATCGCTTACCTCATCCATCATTAGCTTGACATATTTACTGATAATATCCATTAATCCATCATCGTCTACCCCACAGTCTCGTAACTCTTGTGCCGGCACATCGCCAGCATCAGTCAAGATGCGCGGATCACTCAAGTCTTTGCCTGCATTAATGCATCAATTAGTGAAGCTCTTTTAACAAAATGGATGCCTAAAACTTAAATGAGCGAGAACTGAGATCAGATGACCATTAGGAGACACTGGATTCACCACCTTCTTCAGTTGTAGAGTTTGTGCTGCCACACCATATAGCCTCTCGAATGCGGGGAGGAGCAAATGCAGGCCCTTGAAGAAATGAAGAGTTATGTCCCAAAGGAACCCCTATAAGAGTTTGCGATGCTACTACTCCCCCTAGAGCGCGGAGAAGTTCTCCCTGCAAACAAAATAGTCAATTTCAGGAAGAAGAAAAAACAAGAATAATTCCTTTGTGTAATATAATCGTCGGGCATACTATACCACATTGAAAACAACACCATTTTACGAAGTATAGAAACTTGGATTTCAGCAGTATTTTGGGAATTAGTTTTAACCCAACAGTATTTTGGGAATTATTTATTTAATTAGCATTATTCCAGGAAAAACTCAAAAACAAAATAGTCACATTGAAAACAACACCATTTTACGAAGTATAGAAACTTGGATTTCATCTTAATGGTAAGGAGTAACTCAAAGCCATGTATATGTCTGTTTATATGGCCTAAGATGTGAATGTCACCACATTAGGACTAAAGCTATATATTTTTATGATGACTAGAGGATATATCCGGCGGGTGTTCATTATATTCCTTCAAGAACATGGAAAAAACAATAATGCCAACGAATTGCTTTGCTAATGAAGCATGATATGTTAAAATATATCATTTTTTAGTGTTCTTGACAATCATTTAGCCAAGAAATTGGGATTTAGAAGCAATGAAAAAAAAACTACCAAACGACTCAGAGAACAATTTCAAAAGGTTAGCCCCCCCACTCCCCCACCCCACCCCACATACCTTTAGCTTTGCCCGCTCACGGATAAGCGTGAGAGACGCCTCTATAACACGCTTTTGCCCCTTCTCTATCAAATCTTTTGGTATACATTCAGCACTCAATTTGTGCAGATAATGAACACCCATTTTCCCCACGTTTTTTATGTTTGCAAAATCCTTCTGTAATACCTTTATGATCAATAAAGAAAGTGAAAACACGATTAAAAAAAGGATGTCAAGATGAAAAGTATGGCACGCTATTTGTCGTCAATCTTTCTTGAATTTCTTCCACATTCCCTGAGAAAGCTCGAAACAACGGAAAGAATGGATTTAGCTGGAAGTTTGAAATGTTACCTATTAACCCCTGAATATGAATTTTAGTATAATGAATGCATCCCAGTGTTGTGGACAGACATTACGTACATAAGGGAGCAGCTGAACTAGTCCAGACTGTAAATAATTAAAGATGTGTTTTTTAGGGCTCTGCTCTGCGCACCATTCCCCCCCCCCCCCCATTAAAGTGACTATCGCACACGTAATTATGGAGCTAGGCGATCCCTTCATTCTTCGTATTGATTTTCGTAATGGGCCTTAATGCTTCTTTAAATAAAAATACTCCGTAGGTTTTGAACGAGGGTGCTTCTACGGTGCATTCTTTAATTTAGTGTGTTTTGGTACACATCTTTTTTAACCAACCATCAAACTCCATAACCGTAAATCCGTATTAGTAGTACTACGTACTAGTATATCTTACGCCACCCCATATCCTTATTCACTAAACATAATAATTTTTCATTTTTGCATTTTAATCCTTCACAAAATAATACTCCATAGTAAAGTTTAAAATACTCATCAAGTCATTATTTGTAGTTGGAAATAAGTACTCCTTGAAGCTTGACAATACCTAATGTTGCCACCACCTACATCTGGTCAGATGTGGTCGCCGCCAATTTGACCACCGATGTTGCACATCTGGCCGCCGCCGCCAGAGCTCTGCTGCCGCGATCCAGATCACCGACATAGATCGGCACCAGAGTTTTGTTGCCGCCGAACTTAGGACTGGGCAAAATGGTTTGGTTTAACCGAACCGAACTGAACCAAACCGAAAATTCGTGGTTTGATTTGGTTTGAGTTTACTTGAGTAAATCGTTTGGTAACAATTTTCTCAAACCGAATGGTTTGGGTTGGTTTGGTTTAAAAACGAAAAACCGTAAACCGAACCGAAAACCGAACAACTTGTAATATATATTATATATATATACTATAATACTAGTATATATTAAGATTATATATTTAATATATATATATACATACACACACACACACTTTGTATTTGTCTTCACACTTAATTTTTAAGATTTAAATAAATAATTTAGGCATGAAATACATATTTAACACATATCATTAACTTTTACGCATTTCACACATTAATTATGACAAAGTTAGCTAATACAAAATATATGTATTTGTTGTGTTTTGTACTCTACCTATATGAAAAGATGTTAGTTTGGTGAATGTAGATAACAATAGCAAATTGCATTTATATTTTTTTACATGATTCATTTGAATAAAATTGTGAATATTACAACATTTGTACCACCGACTCCTCTAGTTTCTTTGAATATTTTATATGATATTATAAATGCTAATCTACTATAAATGTATTTTTTGTAAGAAGTGAATCTTTTAATAGTGATCGAAAAGATGTTAGAAGTTATAATTTATACTACGTAATATTTTATTACTTATTTTTATATCTTTTATTTCTTTTTACATTTTATTTAAATAGTAAAAAAGGAAACCGTATCAAATCGAACAAAATTAAAACTAATACTTTTCACTTTGGTAAACCGAACTCCAAACCGAACCGAACTGGAGCCGAACCGAAACCAAACAGAAAAACAAATGGTTTTAGTTTGGTACAAATTCTCCCAAATCGAATAAACTAAAACCGAACCGAAACCGAAGAAAACCGAACCGTAAACCGAATTGTCCACCCCTAACGTCTGAACTACCCGTTATCAACATATTCACCTTGGTTATGTAAGGAAACTCGGGGCAATTATTTATAGTTTCAATATATTTTTAGTCCCTTCAAATATGACACATTTTGTTTCAGGTCCCTGGAAAATAATTTCGTGTTTTTCATCATCTCCGTAATATGCATTATTTTGTTTTTAGTTCATCCCTAACTCTAAAACCACTCTATTTACAAAATAAATTATTGCTCGTTGCCTGAATCTACTAGAAACATTCAAATTTGTCCTTTTATAAAAATTTTTTAGTCAAATATAAAATTTGAAACAATAAAAAACGAATTATTCACATTTTAAAAAGATGTATTAAAACCCCTTGTAAAGAATAAAATTAAATAATTTTTTAATAACATGAAAAAGAATTAGAGGAATCCTATTAGTCGAGGTTACTTTAATGTCAAAAGGAGGTTACTATCATCAACAACGGACTAAAACGAAAACCACTATAAATTTAAGGGATGAAAAACTGAAAAATAATTTTGCAGAGACGTAAAAAAATATGTACTACGTAGTATATTTTTAGAGATTAGAAACATATTTAAACCTTATTTATATTAGGACGGGCAAATATGAAATAAAAGTCCTATTTAGAAAATAAAAATATAGATGTACCCATATTTATTTATTACAATATTTGATTGGGAATTTAAGAAACAATTTATATTAGGATGTTTTCTTTTGGACAGAATTTTTTGGTCTAATTTATTTAAGTCTGGTCTGGTCAGAAGTGGTCTGGTATGATCTGTTAAATGTATTTTATAATTGTCCAAATTTAGTCTGATCTGATCTAGTCCGATCTGTTTAAATTTGATCCGGTCAAATTTGCTATGGGACTAAAAGGTGAAAACCGTCAATCCTATTTAGGCTGCTAAATAAGTTAATAACGCAATCCTCAATATAAGTTAATCACGTAAAGTAGCACAATATACAATGTGATTGGATAAGAAAAGGTGGGTACCCGTGCATTCAAAATTTATGAGTGCACGGTAGAATTTTCCTTTGAACTATGCATTTTCAATTTGAAATCATGATATTATACGGAGTATTAATCAAGGCAACGATAGTGTCATATTAATCTCTGGTGATGTTAAACAAAAGATATCCGTGGTTAGACAGGTGCGGACTAGGATGGTGCTTGAGGAACTCGGACGGGCAGTTTGTGGTAGGGGTTTCAAAATCGTGGCCAGGAGTTATGTCAGTGTTGGGTGCCAAACTCGTAGGCATCAGGGAGGCGCTGAGTTGGTTGAAGAAGTTTGGTATCACCTTTGTAGAAGTTGAATGTGATGCGGCGGGGGCAATTGCGGAGATCCAAGGAGGGTCTAGTTGCTCTTTGGTGGGACTTCTGAGAGACGACATTAGAGATATAGCAGATTCATTTTCGTTCATTTCATTTTGTCATGTGAGGCGATCAGCGAATAAGCCAGCTCATATGTTAGCTAGGGCGGCTTGTTCTGTGTCTGGTTTGCAGTCTTGGGTTGATTTTCCTCCTGATTTTATTGTATCGGCTTTGGCCAACGATTTGATTAATATTAATTAAATATCTCCCTTTCAAAAAAAACGATATCCGTATATGCTCCGTATGTTTTGATTGAGATTCTTGTCATGGCGTAGGCTTTGTTTGCAAACCATTAAAAAATACTTCCGAGGAAACGTATTGATGAAGTTCATGCTTTCTCTTAAATGAACATTGATGTAATTTGGATGAGCATCGAGTTTGTTCTTCTGAGTATTAGGAGCCTAACAATGAGCACCAGTGATCTCTGTTTCATATCTTCTAATTGAGTTTCTTTTTATTAATTTTCGTTTATAAAAAATCTTAAATTGTGTTTATAATTAATTTCAATATGTCAATCTAATGTAGTATGATATGTTTGATATGTACATCATTTTAAAATGAGCATACACCGGTACGGCGGTACCAAATGAGCATACATAAGTTACAAAATGAGTATCAAAAAAATCAAAACTTCATTTGTGTATGCTCATTGATTTTGGGCGTTATATTTGATATGTGCATCATTTTAAGATGAGCATAAAGCAGTATCAAATGAGCATACATAATTTACAAAATGAGTATCCAAAAATTCAAAAGCTCATTTAATTTGTGTATGCTCATTGATTTTGGGCGTTATATTTGATATGTGCATCATTTTTTTTGGGTAAAACATGTGCATCATTTTAAATGTGCATAAAGCAGTACCAAATGAGCATAAATAATTTACAGAATGAGTATCAAAAAATTCAAAAATTCATTCGTGTATGCTCATTGGTTTTGGACGTTATACTCATTTAAGTTTAACATAGAACACATTTTTAATGTGTTTAATACTCAGTTGTGTATGTTCATTTCTTTGAGGCGTATACTCATCTGAGTTTAATATAAAACTCATTTTTAATGTGCTTAATGTTCAGTTGTGTATGTTCATTTCTTTTATGTGTATACTCATTTGAGTTTAATATAAAACTCATTTGAGATGAATAGCAGTAGGGATTCCTTTGTCTGCAGTAGGCTCCTTTGTCTTCCAAAATCACAATCTCAAACACCAAAATTGAATAAGAAAAAGAGAAAAAGAGAAAAAGAGAAAAGAGTGAAAAGAAAGATAGAGGGAGGATCTGCTATGTCCCTTCTGGAGGAGAAGGAGATGAGCGGTGAGAGGCAACGACGAGCAACGACCCGAAAGAGATCTGAAGCTGGTGCGAAATTGGGTGCGAAGTCGAGGAAGAAGGCCAGAGCGAGATCGATCGAAGAAGAAGTGCAGAGCCAAAAAAAGGCCGGATGTACCGTGCGCACGGTACAGCCGGCTGTACGATGTATTGTACCCACTTCCCAACTTTTAACTTAAAAAACACTTATTTTACCAAACACTACCAGCTTTTACTTTTCTCCGCTTTCATGTAGAATCCACTTTTTATTTTTTCTATTACATAAAAAGGACTTATTTTACCAAACACTACCCACTTTTACCACTAATCACTTTTTCTAAAAAAGTGTTTTTTTAAACACAAGCACTTGCAACCAAAGCCGTAGTGCTTTAATTCTCCTTTATCTATACTCCGTAGTAAATATAATAGACATTTTTAAAAAAATACTACGTATATTTTAAAGCAGGTCAGTTTGAGTATTCGTTTTTTCGTTTGGATTTTCCAAAACTAGGACCTAGCCTTAACCTACCCCGAACCCGTATTACCCGGCCCACGGTTCCTGTACCCGCGGTTACTGGAACTCATTATTAATGCTCTTATAAATTTTTTACAATCTTCTTGTACAATGGGGGATGAATGTGAAAATTATCTAACAAATAGTACTCTTGATTTTCAGCCTTATGAGATATTTATCTATCACACTATCTGTATCTCGGTTCATCTTTTTTATGTATTTTATTAAGTTTGTCGTATACAATATTCGTTAATATTTTAATGGTTATATACTACCCCTGTCCCGCTAAAATGGTCCCATTTTACCTTTTCGGTCTGTTCCACTAAAATTGTCTACTAAATTTGGTAAAGTTTGTGTAACTCTAAATCATTCTGACTTTATTCTTACTTTACTAATTTAATATCAACCACATACACCATTTTTTATTAATTTGCGTGACACTCCCTCTTGTCCCATTGTTAGTGGGACGGAGGGAGTATATAATTTGTCATTCACCTTTAGTTTCAATAATATTGTCTTTATTCTATTATCATCTAACTACGACATGTCAGTATTTGTGATCTTTTTAATTGAGATGTTTTCGATCCCAGAAGCGCTTTTTTTCTTTTTTAGTTTTTTTGAGATGTTTTAAACTGCAAAAGCTTAAAAATGTATTTCTCGGCTTTTGACTTAAAAAAACTAGAATCAGTGTTTTCAAGTGACAACTTCTATTTTAAAAAACGCTTATCGATTTTTCGCTGAAAACTGCTTTTTACTTTTTCTATTTCATAAAAACACATATTTTACCAAAGATTATCAACTTTTAGTTTTCAAAATCATTTTTTTCTCAAATACTATCAACTTTTCCAATTAATCATTTTTCCAAAATCACTTCAAAAACATTGCAAACACTCCCTTATAGGGCTGTCAATTTTTAAAATAATTGTTCCAAGGATATTTTAAAACAATTGTTCGAAGCTTGACACCAAACCAAGTCAATTTTAAAATTGTTTGAAATTCAATAGGGTTGTCACTTGTGAAAGTTTAATTAAAAGATTGAAGAGGGTAAATCAATCTCACAACGGTTACATTTAAAGATTGAAATTCAACGGTTACCTAATAATGAGGCGCACCCCCCCCCCCCCTTTTTTTTTACTATCCTGGACCAACTGACAAGTGACAAACTGATGGAGTGAGCCCCTCCATGACCGAACCCATTTGGAACCTAAACACTACTCTAGTACTATTTTTACAAAATTTTGGAGGAGAGAGTTAATTGAGTACAATAACTTATATGAGGTGAAATAAAGAGTGCACTATATTGAATTGAATCCTTTTAAGTACACAAATTTAGGATTTTAATGTTAATTGAATACACTTGTTATATTAAGACGTTAACACATCTAAGTTGTCTGACGAAATATTGAGTAAGAAAGGTTAATGGACCAAGAACATGGTGCTGACCTTCACGAAGTTGACCAAAAAGAGATAATCGACCTTCGAAGGTCGACCCGTGGGGGGACGTCGACCAGCAGGGGTGCATCGACCAAGGAGAAGTCGACCTGCAGGGGGCTGACGTCAACCAAGGGGAATTCAATCAAGTGGCTGGGGGGTGGCGTCGACCTTCAAGAAGTCGAACTATTAACATTCTATTAGCCAACTCACCGTATTAACGTGTCAGTATAACAAATGTACTCAATTAACACTAAAACCCGAATCTGTGTAATTAAAAAGATCAAATGCAATACAATATACTCTTTACTCTAACTCATACAAGTTAATGTACCCAATTGACCCTTATTTCCAAAATTTTCTCCTCTAATCTAATCTGGTTTCATTCGGTAAATGTTTGGTCTTTGTATATTTTATAAATATTCATGTCTGGTCTGGTTTGGTCTAATTTGGTTTGATTTTGTACTAGAAACAGTCCAAATAAAAGTGTCTTAGTACGGAGTAATTGTTTTCTAAACGAATTACATGTGCAAACTCACGAGAAAAATGCGTGATGTACACAAAATTTGTGCACCTTTTTTGTACATATGTCTGTACTCAGCAGACAAATTATCCGTTGAACGACAACTAAGGAGTAAGGACACACTACACATTATATTTACAAAATGTGTACTATTGCGTCTGATAAATGCTACTAGTACTACAAACAGTTACACTTAAAAATAATGTTTACTCTAATTTAATCATCTTTCCTAGGGTATGTCTTTATTTTTTGGCCGAACCATTATAAGTGTATTCCATATCGTAAAGAAAAGAAAAAATCATTGGGGGCTAAATAAATACTACCTCCGGTTTTTTTTAATCTTCACAGTTTGACTTCACACAAAATAAGGAAAGAAATTTGACTTTACTGTAGAGTACACTGTTGAGACACTGTTTGACACTGTTTGGCACTGTAGAGACATTGTTTGGCACTGTTGAGACACTGTTTTGCACTGTTTGGCACTGTTTTGGTGTAGATTTCTTTCCCAAAAAAGGAAATAAGGAAGTGTGAAGTTTATTTTAGACCATCCCAAAAAGGAAAGTGTGAAGTTTATTAAAAACCGGAGGGAGTATATACTTTCCCGTTTTTTTAATTCTTGCAACATTGTGATTTTTGCACTATTCACGGACTTTAATTTGACCACGATTTTCTACTAATATAAATAATCGAATTATTACGTATAAAATGTTATTGAATTTTTATCGATGTGAATTTCCAAAATATCAGCTTTTTATAATGTTTACCAATACATAATTAAATGTCTTTACAATCAAAGTTGTGTGTTGACAAACGTGAAAATCAAATTGCTGCAAGAATTTAAGAACAGATGATAGTATACTCCATAATTTAACAGGGGCAATTACTCTAACTCTAAAAAGCACTTATATAATGTTTTTCAATTTTACTAGTATTGTATTAGTAAATATTATCTGAGGCATGTGCCCTCACTCCAGTGGCATCAACGGTTATCGACAAACACCGGGAGCTCGTCTGCGGCGAAAATTAGTCTGTTAACAAGGTGTGTCAATTCATGGCTGAAGCACTGCAGGAACACTAGCAAGCAGTGAACCACATCATCAGATATCTTTCTGGAACCACAAGTCATGGCATTTTCATCATACCTATCCCCCTGTCTGAAATGCCCCTTCCTATATCAGCCTACTGTGATGCTGATTGGGCATCTAATCCAAATGATAGGAAATCTACATCTGGTTCTTGCATTTTTTTGGGAACCAGTAAGAAAACAACTTCGAGTTACCAGATCTTCAACAGAAGCAGAATATAGGAGTCTTGCTGACACCACAGCAGAACTTCTATGGATCCAGTTTCTTCTGAAAGAGCTTCAAGTTCCTTTTGCCACACCTAAAGTTTACTGTGATAATCTCAGCACTGTCCAGCTAGCTCATAATCCTGTTCTACACTCTAAAATCAAACACTTGGAGCTAGATCTTTTCTTTGTTAGGAAAAAGGTTCTTCTGAAGCAGCTTGAAGTATATCACATTCCCTCTCTTCATCAGATTGCTGATATCTTATCCAAGCCACTCTCCAGCTCCGGATTTCTTGAATTAAGAACAAAACTTGGTGTGATTGAATATCCAAAACAATCACACTAATTTTGAGCGGGGAATGTTAGATGCATGTGTTAGACTAGTGCTTTATGATGTATTAGCCTAGTATACTTAGCCAACTTATATCTCGGTTTGTTGTACAGTTGGTTATCCTAATTGCTCTATAAAGGAGTGTTTGCGGTTGCTTAAAAAAACGCTTTTCAGCTTTTGGCTTAAAAAAAGCAAAAAAGGTGTTTTTCAAATGACAGTTTCTGCTTAATTTAATTAGTTAAAAGCTAAAAGTTGGAAGCAGGTAGAATGATGTTTTAAACTGCTTTTCACTTTTTCTATTACACAAAAAGTACTTATTTTATCAAACATTACCAACTTTTATTTTTTCAGAATATTTTTTTTCTCAAACAATACCAACTTTTAATATTAATCACTTTTCCAAAATCACATTAAAAAATCACTTTTTTAAAGTTGAAGCCATTGCAATTTGCAAACACTCAAATAATATCATGTTAGCTTCAAGTCATCTTCTCTTTTCTCTCTCCCCGTGGCTTCTAATAATTACCTACCTCTCCCTCCTTCCCAATCTTCCTCGTCGCGTCAGTGGTTCTAATTTCTAAATCCTCTGCGACCTTCATGTGTTGGCCGGCATGACATATAAAGAATCGTAGATTACTATGGAGTATATTAATATAGAATGGTGATGTGGCATACTTTGATTGGCTTACAAAAACCTGGGTTTTTGGTGCTTCCACATTAACAAGGGCTAAATCTTTAGCGGATGGGTACCGACCAATTCCCACAGAAATCTTTAGCGGGAAATTTGAATGAACCCTCAATTGGCAGTGATCAAAGCTGCCGGATGGCGTCTAGTAAAGAGCAATCTGCTCCGAGCATGAAAGCGGAGGAGGCCGAGGAGGAATTGAGCAGGGCAGCGAGCAACGCTGCATCAGTAGAAGCCGAAGAGGACGATGACGAGCACGACTCCAAAGAGAGGGTTCTTCAGAGATACTTCCTTCAGGAATGGAAGCTCGTAAAGCTCCTCCTCGACGACATAGTTTCGCTCGGCCGGGTTTCTGATATCTCGTCAGTTCACAAGATCCGATCCATTGTATGGAATTGCTTCTCTCACCCACCTTTATGTTTATGTGGTGCATCTCAAAGTCTCCATTTCAGATGTTTTTTTGCACCAATTTTGTGTGCTGTGCACCATAGTTTATGTATGTACATTGTACACAGACAAGTCAATGCCTTCTAGTAGTGTAGCCATGAAAGGCATTATTATTCGGATAACTTTTAAGTGCATTAGAGGGTTGTTCTTCTATAGGTTGAAGAAAGTTCATATCTTGATGCTTTATTTTCACTCTTATGCTTGGAGTATAAAACCCTGCCTCACATACTACATGTGGTGTTGCAGATGGACAAGTATCAGGAACAGGGTCAACTAGTAGAGCCTTATCTAGAGAGCATAGTTTCTCCTCTGATGTCAATTGTTCGTTCCAAAACGGCTGAACAAGGGGAAGCATTGGATGAAGTTCTTGAAGTCATTAAACCTTTATGCATTATCATTTATTGTCTGGTAACAGTATGTGGATATAAGGCAGTTATCAAATTCTTCCCACACCAGGTTTCTGATCTAGAACTTGCGGTCTCTCTGTTGGAGAAATGCCACAGTACACATTCAGCAACATCATTAAGGCAAGAAAGTACAGGAGAGATGGAAGCAAAGTGTGTGATACTGCTATGGCTTTCCATATTAGTGTTGATTCCCTTTGATATATCATCTGTGGATACTAGTATTACTGACAGTCAGTGTACAAGTACAAACGAACTACCTCCACTGGCACTGAGGATCATTGAATGCTCTAAGGACTACCTTTCCAATTCTGGCCCGATGCGTACTATAGCTGGGTTGCTGCTTTCTAAACTTCTAACACGCCCAGATATGTTGAAGGCCTTTAACGGGTTATTTTCTTCAGCTTTCTATGATTCTTTCTACTATTTTATTATGAGTTGCTTGACTTTTTTTTTAGAATTCAAGTAGGATGAAGTACTAGTTACAGATTTGTAGTCATTCAAAACTGCATGAGATACTAACGTGGACTTATTATTTTCATTTGAAAATGAATTTAGGAGTTTCTTTTTGTCTTTTATTTAGTCTTGTATGTGAGTGCATTGGTGCCACTATTTTCTTCTTTCAAGTTTGTCTTTCACAAGTTCATTCACCTTAGCTGTGTTTGATGTGTTTGGGTGATGATATTGTACAAAGTTGTTAGGCATGTGATCACTAGATATTAATCGCCTATTGCATGCATTTCTGGCAATGTTCTTGTCAAGCTTGAGTTTGTCACCATGCTCAACATTTTTTATTTTGATATTTATTTCTACCATGCTTTTTCGCACATATATAATATTATTTAATTTATAAAGTTAATTGACACTAAAGATTTCATTTTAAGTAAGCCAACATAGTTTGGATTGTAGTAATAACTAATGATGATGATTTACTTACACCTTTCTTTATCTTCAGCTTTATTGTTTGGACACATGATGTCATCTCATCTGTTGCAAATGATGTTAATGATCACTTCCAGTTGTTGGGTACGATAGAAGCATTGGCTACCATATTTAAGGTCCGTTACCTTATCCTTTCCTATATACAAGTTTAGGATGTTTTTAGTCCCAGACCAGACTTGGATAGTTATAAAATATACAGAGACCAGACATTTATCAGACCAGTTCAGACCAGACCAGAAAATTTCAGTCCAAGTAAAAACATCCTTATTCATGAATTTGAAAGAAAATAAATGTTTCATTCTGATTATGACATATGTTGGGGATGCTTTCCGGTACAAAATCTTTTTAGGACTCAACTTTGCTAGTGTCATCTTTCGTATGAAGTGGAAGACTTGTGTATAAATTCTATTTTCTTATGATGTGTAATTTATTTCATACCTATTGAACTCTAGGTTATTTCGTTTTTACTGCTAGTGCTATGCTTTTATTTTATATTGAGAAATCACCTAGTCAGTTTTAGGAAGCATACTAGATTATTCATTATTCTGATCTGAAATACAAATAAATGTGGGTCCAACTGTTGGCTCTAAATCAACACTTTCCCATGGCATTCACGTTCTCTCCCCTGGAGATTGAGGATACATGATTTTGTAAGTAGTAAAACATCACCTTTCATTTTGGATTAAAGTATTCCTATCATTTTGGATTTCTGGTGCAAGATAATACTCCGTATCTTTCTGCGCGAGTGTGTTCATTGGAAAGTTTATGATAGAGAAGTTGAAGAAAAAATTATATGTTTATTCTTTATACTTTCTTCACCTTAACATGGAGTTCCATTTCTTTGGAAATGATATTAGTACATTTTAGTTCTATTTTACTCAACCTCATCACATTTTATGCAAATACGATGAACTCATTTCTGTTCACATATAGACTGGGAGTGCACAACTATTGCTTAATGTAGTTCCCACAGTTTGGGAAGACACAACAGCTCTGGTGGGGTCCAGCAATGCAGCAAGAAGTCCATTGCTTCGCAAGTATCTTGTAAAGCTAGCTCAAAGAATATCGCTTACATGTTTGCCTCACCGTTCTCAATCATGGCGCTATGTGGTTAGTTGAATTCTGGAGATGTTCAGTGTTCCTCATTTTATCATATGCTAAACTTTTAAGTTGTACAGAAAACTGCTTGAGCAGTCAAAATACAATTTAAAGCATATAACAAATTGCAGTCTTAGTGTGTTTAAGAGTTGTTCAGGAAAAACTTCACTTTGATAAAGCTCTGATGTATTCTCAAGTTACGTTTTCATTTTCTTCACATCTAGGGCAGGAAGCAAACTCTGGGGGTGATATCCCAAGACTTGACCAGAATTGATAAAAATGATGAAATTGAAAATATAGATCCTTCAGAATTATATCAGCAGGAGGATATGGATGTTCCTGAGATAGTTGAAGAGATTATCGATGTTTTGTTGTGTTCACTGAAAGATACGGTATGTTAAGATACTAGAGATTATTTATAATTTGAGCATATCTTAGTTGTTGTTATGTGCCTGGGTAACAAACTCACAACATATCAAAGTTACTACCATCCTTCTCTCCTCTAGAAAGATTTAGTTTTTTCAAATGGGTATTCCATTGCAAGGTTTAAAGTTCTCTATGCAACCATTTCATTTTAGTCATCTTGCTATTATAATGTGCAGGACACGGTTGTTCGTTGGTCTGCTGCAAAAGGTATTGGTCGCGTTTCTTCACGCTTAACTTATGCACTTTGTGATGAAGTTCTTTCATCTGTACTGGAACTCTTTTCTCCCAGTGAGGTATCTATTCTTCATATTAGTTTTCAATTCATCAATCATGAACTGAGATAAATGTTATTTACTTGTCTAATACCTTTCTATTTAACTCGAGATTTCCAGTACTTGTTCTCGTAATCTTTGTAATTAAGTGTGTTATTATTGGTTATAGGGGGATGGTTCTTGGCATGGAGGTTGTTTGGCACTGGCTGAGTTAGCACGTAGAGGATTGCTCTTACCCATCAGCTTTTCCAAAGTTGTGCCTGTTGTAGTGAAGGTTTATTTATCTTGCCTGTTAATTTATTGCAATCATTTTATAATTTTCCATTTTGTTGGTTGCTGCAATTTCATCTGATTTTGATGCTGACATTTAATTTTGACATCAAGCTATCAAAGAATGATCAAAGAATGCCCTTTTTGCTAGAGTATGATTGCTTTGTTCAAAGATGTTTCTTTAAGAATCCCCTGTTCACCCTCCAGTTGCCATGGGTGGATAGATTTGATTTTTTGGGGTTGTGAAGCCCTTCCTATGAATTCCAGCTTTTTATACAACTTCCTTAGTTGTGTTTTGATGCATATTACATCCCTTTTATAAACTTGAGTTCCATTTAGTTGCATGCCATAATATTGTGTGATGTTTTGTCTTCTTCGTTAGGGAGTGTTTGTTTATTACAAAAAGTAATACTTTACATGAAAAAAGAAGAATTGTGTTCCCTCTATTGCACAACTAAACTGAAACTCACTTTCAAGGGAAAGCTAATTTATTTTCCTTAAAAAATGAGGGAATCTAGTTCCATAGGTAAGGGGTTGGAATGTTGGATTTTGAATCCATGGGAATTAATTTTAATTTTCTTGGAAAGTAGTTTCTGTACTGATTGAGCGCTTAGCTTTGATCATATAAAGTACACATGTAATTTGTTATACTTTTGGGCATTATTGTTTGACAGGCCTTGCATTATGATGTTCGAAGGGGTCCACATAGCATTGGGTCGCATGTACGTGATGCTGCTGCATATGTTTGCTGGGCATTCGGTCGTGCTTATAATCATAAAGATATGAAAGGTTTACTCGTACAGATTGCTCCACATCTTCTGACGGTGGCTTGTTACGACCGAGAGGTTACAACCACTGTCTGTCAATGTTTAGCTTTCTCTACTATTCTTATTCAGATGATTAATATTGGCATACTGTCCATCTGGAAACTTTTTTGAATTACCAAACACTAATTTAAGTTACAGTAAACACTAAACTGGTGCATTGGATTTATGATCTAATGGTTCTAAATATGCCAACAATGTATTACATTTGATAAAATATGCGATGACATTTTCATCATCATCATCATCATCATCATCATCATCATCATTACCCCAGTGCCGCAAAGGCTTCCACTTACGGTGGGGTAAGGGGGGGTCGGATGTACGCAGTCTTACCCCTGTACTAAAGCACAGAGAGACTGCTTCCGGATGACCCATAGTGAAAACCGCGTCAAAAATTGCATGGACTGACTGATGCTTCATAACAAAGAAGTGCGGACAGTTTAGTGAGTCATTTTGCTTTATTCCATCATATTCCCAAGCAAAAAAATAGCGAGTCTTTGGCTCTATTGCAAATGATGGAAATAAGCGATGACATTTTCATATATAGATAAAAAAAAACTCCATGAGAAAATGATAGGTAACTAGCTAATTCCAGAGTAATTCAAGAATAGCAGAGATGAAAAAACAAGTTAACAGTCTCAAGAAGGTCGATTAACAGAGAAGAGAGAGAAATATAAAGGCATTTTAAGAGTGCCAACTCTCCAAGTCCCAAGCCAAGATAATACCAGCCTCCTCTCTATTCTACCCTCAACCTCTATTTATACTAACTATTCTAACATTATTATTATTGTTATTAGTCTACCCGGGTCCCTATCAGAAAAGTTGCATCTTCTGCATGAAATAGTGCACTGTATATGTTAGGTACCCGGCCCAATAGAGTATTAATAATAATAAATGTACAAGTTGAGTATAAATAGAATAAGCTTGGGCAGGTAGAGTAGGCTGTTTTAGACTTCATTTGGGACTTGGGAAGATACGAGACTGAACATCTCTATCTTTTGGGGCTTCGGCTTTGGGAGGCTTCGGCCTTTGTTACTGTTTCTCCTCTTTAACCGATCTTCTTCATCAATAAAGAATTCAGTTGTTTCTTATTCATTTTCTGAGATTGTTCTGGATTTCTTGGAGGTTTCTATCATTGGTATCAGAGCGGTCGATTCTGTGGATGGTCTGGACACGAACAAAAATGGATTTACGGATGACTGAGTTGGAAGACAACCAAAACCGACGGGAGGAGAAGATGGATCGGAATCAGCAACAGACTACGGAGATGTTGGCAGCAATTATGGCCAGGTTGGATGCGAAAGATCATCGATCAAGAAGTAGGTCGCATCGCTCATCTGCGTCGCATCGATCATCTGCCTCGCATCGCACATCGGCATCGCATCGCACTTCTCAACAGCATCAGTCGCGACACAAACATGCGAAGAAGGGCGACAGTTCAGACGGTTCAGACAGTTCGACTAGCCATTCCACATCGCGACATAATCACGATCCTCATCGGAATCAACGACATCACCATCACACAGGACGGAAAATTGATATGCCAATCTTTAACGGAGAGGATGTTTGTGGTTGGTTGTTGAGGATGAATTGCTACTTCAGACTGAATAACACGGAGGACGAAGATAAAATTGATGTGGCAGTCATCGCCATGGAAGACCAAGCTCTCAGCTGGTTCCAGTGGTGGGAGGGACAAGCACAGCATCAGAATTGGGAATCCTTTACCCATGCTTTGACAAGAAGATTTCAACCTAACCTGGTTCAAGATCCGTTGGGGCTCTTGTTCAGTGTAAAGCAAAAAGGGACTATCCAGGAGTACAGAGACCAGTTTGAGACAGCTATAGCCTCACATGGCCATTTGACTGAAGAGGTGTTGAAAGGAGTTTTTCTAAAAGGTTTAAAGCGTGATATACGAGCTGAGCTGAAGTTACATTCCGCACGAACTTTGGCAGAAGTTATGGACAAGGTATCCCTCATTGAGAACAAGAACACTGAAGTTTTGTTTATGAAAAATAGAGAGGAAGGAAAGAATAAGAGACAGAGCAAGTACAATGTTCAGAATTCAGGCCAAAATTGGAGTGAAGGAAGCAGATGGAAGAGTCATACTGATCAGCCTGTTAATATGGGAAAGGTGACAATTGACAACAAAAGCTACCCTGAGGTGATGGATCCCAACCAGAAAAGAAATGGCCCTAGGTTATCACAAGAAGAGTTGCTTGAAAGAAGTAAGAAAGGACTATGTTTCAAATGCGGAGAGAGTTGGGGTAGGGGACATGTGTGCAAGATGAAAAATTATAAGATAAAACTAATGGAAAAATCTGAAGGTGAAGTTGAAACTGAAGTAGAATCAGGAGACTCAGAAGATGAAAAGACCTCACCAATGAATCTGAAAACCATGCAGCTCTCAGCCCTTAATAAAGAGGGCATATCTTCTGTGGAAATATTTAGGGTGAAAGGGAAAATGAAATGGTCAGGAGGTGAAGACTTTGTGGATATCCTCATTGATAGTGGGGCCACCCACAACTTTATATCACACAGATTGGTGGAAAAATGGAAACTACCTTACAGTCATATTCAGGGACATGAAGTGCAGATTGGGAATGGAGAGTGTATACTCAATCGTGGCAGGTGTGAGAGAGTTAACATAATGGTACAAGGAGTGGAAATACAGCAAACTTACTACATGTTAGAGTTGGGAGTTACTGAGGTAGTACTTGGGCTGAAATGGTTAACTGGCCTAGGAGATATGGAAGTCAACTTCCAGAAACAGACTTTAAAATGGAAACAACAAGAGCAGAATTATACTATCCAAGGAGATACTACCCTAAATCAGATGGATGTTCCATTGGAAACTATCACAAACATTTTACAGAATACAAAGGGTGGATACCTGCAATACTGTGAAAGTATAGATCAAGAACAACAGCACATAACAGCTCAGGATGAGACCGGGAATAGGATGGTGGGAGAATTTTCTGAAGTCTGGAAATCAACTCGAGGTCTGCTTCATGAAGGAACCTGGGACCACCCAAGAAATATCTTAAAGAGAACCAACCTACCCAACATCAGACCATACAGTCCCAAGAAAGACTTGACAGAGGTTACAAATTCAAGGAGTGAAGCGACTAAAACCCAAGAGCTGGAGTTATTTCCTGAGGCAAGAGATCTTAGTAAATGGAAGATTGAGCAATTGGTGATTAGTAAAGCCCAGTTTTTGCTTGATCAAAGCCACCCAAGTGGTAATCATGCTGTGAAATGTATGTGGCAGAAGATGAAAGCAGCAAAACTAAAAGTCCAGCAATCACTCCAGTATTGGAAAGGGAGAGGTGCTAGGATGAAAGAAAAGAAGAAGATTGTGGCTGTGTCCTATCACCCACCTTGAGGGCAAGGTGGATGTTTAGGGGGGAGAATTGTTAGGGACCCGGCCCAATAGAGTATTAATAATAATAAATGTACAAGTTGAGTATAAATAGAATAAGCTTGGGCAGGTAGAGTAGGCTGTTTTAGACTTCATTTGGGACTTGGGAAGATACGAGACTGAACATCTCTATCTTTTGGGGCTTCGGCTTTGGGAGGCTTCGGCCTTTGTTACTGTTTCTCCTCTTTAACCGATCTTCTTCATCAATAAAGAATTCAGTTGTTTCTTATTCATTTTCTGAGATTGTTCTGGATTTCTTGGAGGTTTCTATCAGTATATGATCAGAAGTGCAGTATGTGATCATCTGAACGCAATAGTGCACAATAGATGATCAAGAGTGCACTTCTTCACACTTTTCATGGGAACACTACTTCACACACACATACAGGATCCAGTTAGAGTGGTTCTTCCCGTGAGAAATGAGAGTGATGCAAAACAGTGCACATCCTGATTCATGGAGTTGCACACTTTCGACTCAGATAGGGCACACTTTGGATCAGCAGAAAAAGTTTGTTTTATTTACAAAAACGCCACCGTGATTGTCATTCATGTCAGTGCACATTTCAGTTTCAGATGGTGTACAATTCTCAAATCTAACGCTTCAAATTCATTCTCATTTCTCTCCTTAGATCATGTTCTCATTTGATCCAAATTCTATGTGTGTGAGTGGGATGTTATCAATAAAATATATTTGGTTTTCTCATCAACTTATCAATATACCTCACAATCCGAGCAATTTTAACCAAATTCACCCTTGATAAACCGGATCTTAATTTCCAGGTGAATTGCAGAAGAGCAGCAGCAGCAGCTTTTCAAGAAAATGTTGGTAGACAAGGAAATTACCCACATGGCATTGATATAGTGAATACAGCTGACTACTTTGCACTCTCCTCACGTGTATACTCTTACCTTCACGTTTCAGTCAGTATCGCTGTATATAATGGATACCTACACTCTTTTGTAGATGAGTTGCTTCATAACAAGATCTGTCACTGGGTATGTTTTACATTCTTCCATCTAAGCATTAGTTTACCATATGTATATGTAATGTTCATAAAACTTCATATAGGATCTTGAAGATGTTCCAGCTGCATGGCTGGTGGATCTTGTATTCACATGATTGTTGGATAACGCGCTTGCTTTATAATTGACATATGTAGGACAAAAGTTTGAGAGAACTTGCTGGGAACGCCCTCTCTTCTCTTGTCAAGTATGACCCTGAATACTTTGTGGAAGCTATTCTAAAGAACTTAATCCCTCGCACACTGTCTACTGATTTATGCATGCGTCATGGTGCAACCTTAGCTCTTGGAGAAGTCATTTTGGCCCTGCACAAGTGTGGCTATAGGCTTTCATCTGGTTGCGCTCTCCTCCCCTCTGTACACTCCAGATTTGACCACAGTTTAATATTTTACTTGTACTTTAAAGTTGCTTTAGTTAAGTAAATGCATTGAACAGTGCATTTCTTAGCTTCTGGTGTATAAAATTGGGCATAACCCCCCCACAAAAAAAAGCATCAACAGGTACAGTTTATCTCACATTTATATTACTCAAGCACAATAGAAAACACCGTCATGTGTGATACACAACACACCCTATATTACTCAACACCTCCAAAGACCAATTTGAGTTGGACAGCTGAAGAGGAGTGGACTAATGGCCCGTCCACAAACCCTCATCTGACCTAAACTTTGATAAACTGGGGTATAGATCACCCCAAAAAGACCATCAAGAGTCGATGTGTACATTACATTTGTATACGAGACTCAAACAGAGTAGAGTCAGTAGACAATTGATATGAGGTACTGAACTTGTTACTTGAGTGTTGTGAAATCTCCATCTCCACTTATTCATGCCCATTTATGTTTCTCTGCTACAGATCTCCAGAAACAAGTTGCCAGTGTGATTCCTGCAATTGAGAAAGCAAGGCTTTATCGTGGGAAAGGCGGAGAGATAATGCGTTTTGCAGTTTCACGTTTCATAGAGTGCATTTCTTCAGTGCATGTGCATTTGACCGGCACAACAAAACGTAGTCTGCTTGATACCCTGAATGACAATTTGAAGCACCCGAATTCTCAGATACAGGTCACTCTCATTATTACCTTGTTATGTACAACATAGAACATGACCCCACTAATTTGGAGTTTTTTAATATGATGCCTGAATGGCTGAATTGTTTGCAATGCATATAGGGTGCTTCTGTTGCTGCCCTGAAGAGCTTCATCCCTGCTTACCTAGTGGCGAAAGAAAATAAACCATCAATTGACATTCTGAAGAAGTACCTTGAACAACTGACTGAACCTAATGCAGCTGCTAGACGAGGATCCGCACTTGCAGTTGGTGTATTGCCTTTTGAATGTTTGGCTAAAGGATGGAAAATTGTCCTCTCAAAGCTTTCCCGCGCTTGTGAGATTGAGGTTTGGAAAGTTTGTATTGCCTTCACGTATGATCTAACAGTTTTTGTCCAAAGTTTGGTACTTACTTTCACTTCTTGATTCCCAGTCACTCTGAGGATTTAATGCATCAATGATAGAGAATACTAAATCTGGCTGTAAGCTGTTGTAAATTGAGACTGAAAACAGATGAACGGAAAAGGAAAATAAAATACATGTGAGACACTTAGAGCTCTCTCTCTCTCTCTCTCTCTCTCTCTCTCTCTCTCTCTCTCTCTCTCTCTCTCTCTCTCTCTCTCTCTCTCTCTCTCCCCCCCCCCCCAATCCCAGCCTAATTGGATTCCAGCCTACCCCCTTTTCCCCTCTCCCAGCTCTTATTGTACTCCTCTCCTTAAGGGCCGGCCCATAGCTACTTAGTTACCGGGCCTAGAACCCTCTGTTTTGTACAATATCAGATACTTAATATTATTCTTATTACTAGAACTGTCTAGGTCCCTATCAATTGAGCTAATAGCTTATTAATCCATTTTACTCCTTTTGGTCCTTTACTTTCTCTTGGGTTCAACTTGGTCCTCGAGCATGCTTTAAAAGGGCTCTTACAGGGTGGGTTTTTAGGCACCCCTCAAGGTGAGGTGTACAGAGAAGGTATCAGCGCTTAAGTTTTTTGTCATGTCAAGAGGCTTATGTCTCAAAAGTTAAGGCACACGCCTTGAGGCGTTTTCTGAGGCGCAATTTCCTTTGTTTCTATCTTTAAATGGGTTGTAACTTAAGAAAGGCACATTGTATTTTATTTAATAAAGACCCATATATTAAACACGTGTTCATAGTCCACACTAAACCCCTAACAAGTCTTGCTTCATTTTAAGTAGTCATTAATCGTTAAAATGTTTACATACTTCTTCTGCACGAAGAAGTTGACAACTTCTTAAAAAAACAACACTCCATTCTTCCAGGAGACTTCTCTTTTCGTCACCTGTCTTTCCTCTTGTTCTACATCTCTTCTCCCTCTGCATCTTCTCTCCTTCACTTCTCCTTCTTGTGCAGAGTTGTTGGCCATGCTTCCTAGAACTAGTCAAGGATTTTCAAGAGACTGAAAGATAGACACCTTAAGTTAAGATGCCTAACCAATGATGAGGAAAATCTTTTGGTTGATGATTTTCCATCTGATGATTAATGTCTTGCGTTCATATCTGTGATTGTGTTTGAGACTTTTTGGGTTTATAATAATGCATTTCCTTAGTTGTTTATTACTAGTTCAACTATTTTAAGTTTTATCTGTTGGTACATTTTGAGACTTACACCTCAATATGCCTTAAGGCTAACACCTCACCTCTCTCGAACAAACAGCATTGATACCCAAACTAGCCTATTAAACCTTGTCCTAGAGTATGCAATTTTTACATCATTCAGTCTTCATGCATGTTCGACTTTAGTTTTGAAGGTATTTTTGTCTGTTGAGAAGTAAATTGGATACTAAATACAAAGTTGAGGGCCAAATTGAGTCCTAAATTGGGTTTAGACTTGGTGAATTGTCAAAAAGCAATTCTTATTTAGAACCCCTCACATGTATCATTTTCAGCTTAATCCCAACTAGTTGAGTTCAGTAGCATTAATTTTATGGTGTCAAGTAACTGTGTTGTACTTGTATAAGATCAATAAACACTACTTCATGCAAAAAGCAAATCAGGATATTGCTTCTGCCGAGTTCCCTTCCTTTTACAGCCTTTATAAGAATGAGTAGCAATGAAGATTTAAAAATCGATATCATTTTTGTCATGTCAAGAGACGGCAATGAGTTGAGATATTTGCTATTGTCATGTCCATTAGGACCATTACATAATTGCTTGCAAGACCAAAATGCAAATCATTGAATGATTGAATATGGCTAACTTAGGTTGAAATTGTATAGTCAAGGACCAAATTGGCCTTCAAAAAAGCCGAGGATCAAATTCTAATGGGAATAGGGTATGAACTAAACCGGCTATGAACTCTTAAATGTCGGTTCATGTGTGCAGGAGAATCCTGAAGATAGGGATGCAGAAGCACGGGTGAATGCCGTGAAGGGACTTGTATTAGCATGCCAAACATTAACTCAGGCCGAACAACTTTCTGCTTTCTTCTCTGAAGAAGATTACGATTCTTTGTTTTCTGTCATCAAGAACGAAGTGATACAAAGTTTGCTCAGAGCTCTAGATGATTATTCCGTGGATAATAGAGGTGATGTGGGTTCCTGGGTTCGTGAAGCTGCCATTGAAGGTCTTGAGAAGTGCTCATATATTTTATGCAAGAGAGGCTCCAAGGGGACATTATATTTTGATGAAGATCTTGCAACTTGCATAGTTGGAGGCATTGTTAAGCAAGCAACAGAAAAGTTGAATAAATTAAGAGAATTAGCTGGAAATACTCTTCAAAGAATTTTGTACAACAAAGAAATTTTTGTACCATTCATACCTTATAGGGAGAGACTGGAGAATGTGGTTCCTAATGACACAGATCTAAAATGGGGGGTGGGTGAAAAGAGATGCTGCATTTTAGCTTTACAAATGCTTTTTCCCCTTTCTGAGTTCCTTGGTTTTTTGAACTTGCAGGTGCCGGCTTTCTCATATCCTCGTTTCATTCAGTTACTTGGGATTGATTGCTACAGTAAATATGTGGTCTCTGGGCTGGTTATTTCTATTGGTGGTTTGCAAGACTCTTTGAGGAAAGCAACCATTGCTGCTTTAATGGATTATCTTCAATCACCAGAAGACCACAATGGTTCTAGAGAGCAGAGCTTGTCTAATGACATTCTCTGGGTTCTTCAGGCATATAAAAGATGTGATAGGGTTATAACACCGACGCTGAAGGTTTGCTTTAAACATATTTTATTTTGTAATTTGTTATTCTCAGAGTAATAATGGCAAAACTGCAGCTACAATACCTTTGTTGTTGATATTCTAAGCGTTAGTATACCTTCTTTATGTCAGACTATTGAGATTCTACTGAGCAAAAAGATATTCCTAAACATGGAGGTTAGTCCATATTCTCTTGACCTTCCCTTAGTTTTTTCTTAATTTGGCCTGGGAATGATCTGAACATGTCTATGGAATATGGTTACACTTAATTGAGTGACATCGTTCTTGCTGATACAGCCTGTTCCGTAGCATTCTTTTTGCTTATGTGTCTAATAAGTCAGATCTATCATACTTTCTACCAAACACCAACTTATTTGACAGCTTTGTGTAAATCTGCTGATACCTGAAAGAGATTGATCCTTTTTACAACCATTGTTGTGATATTACTCTCTTTGATTCATTATAATTAGATTTAGATTCAATTTTTTTATATAATATAACTTTTTGGCAATAACTTCAGCCAATTCACCATCACATTCAGCCGTTTCATTCAAATTATATCCTCACCAAATGGGCTTATAATCTTGTAGGCACATACTTCTGTCTTCTGTGCCGCTATTTTGGATTCTCTTTGTGCGGAATTGAAAGGATCAAAGGACTTCTCTAAGTTGAACGCTGGAATTGCAATTCTTGGATATATTGCTTCACTTTTAGAGCCTATTGGTACCCAGGCTTTTAGCCAGCTACTGGTTTTCCTCGGTCACCGTTACCCAAAGGTATGTTATGTGTAAAGGTACGAAGTAATATTTGCATCCCTCAGGTGGCTAAATTGAAGACACAACACTTCATGCTAGAAATCTGCGTCTTCATTGGGGTGCCCTATGAAACTTTATTTTCTTATATTTTGGTTTTACCTATAAAATGCAAGAATAAAATGAACAAATGACTAGTTTATACATTATTCTTGCATTGTGTAAGTTCTTAGTATTTTGTATACAAGAGATAAATGAATAAAATGAATGACTATCTAAGTTGAATTCATTGAGTTTGAGCCTATCTTTTCTTTTTCCCCGCATTCTCTTTCATTGTAAATTTCATTTATGCTTTCCTTCCTATTTTGATATTTTCTGGGTTCCTAATGGATCCCAAATATGTTATGCAGATAAGGAAAGGCGGTGCTGAACAAGTATATCTTGTTCTCCTGCAAAACACGAGTATTGTATCAGAAGATAAAGTTGAGAAAGCGCTTGAAATTATATCTGAAACCTGCTGGGAAGGTGATATTGGGGAAGCTAGAGCCAGGAGGATGCAGCTTTGTACTATAGCTGGCATTGAAACTGGACAGGTAAATGATGGCTTGGTCCGCAAGTCTAAGTCTGCTGAAAAACTGACCAATGCAGATGAAAATAGATCCTACTCGTCTCTAGTTGGATCCGCTGGGTTTTAGCCTCATAGGCCAAGAGAGACCGTACGATTGTGTCTCGACTCTACCATTTGGACTATCCAGATCTTCCAACAAGTGATCTGTAGCCACCTGATCATTAGACATGTGAGCTATGTTGAAGTGATGTTTAAGATGCACTGAGAAACTGGGCCTGGTTTTAGTCCTCATGTTCATGAAAGATGTCGCCTTGTTTCATAGTCAACCCATGTGAAGAGACGGTTTAAAATCTCATATGTGGTTATCACCAGATTTGCTTCAAGAAAGGAGTCCCTTGCCACAATGCCACTTGAGAATAGCTCAAGTTATCGGATGTGAGTTTTATATCCTCAACAAGTGACAGGTCCGGTCCCCATGAACCAAAAGTCATGTTAGTATTGTGTAACTTTTTCGATTGAGTAGAGGACTAGAGGGACCGGGGAAGATAGTTATGTTTATGCAATATACAACTTCAATTTAAATGTAGATCTATATAATGAGACCTGTTTATATTTTTTAAAAAGTAACTACTTGGTTTAACTGAACTTATGAACTTATCATAGATAGCATGTAGGATGATGCAGCTAGTTAATCCCTTTTTGGCAACTTGAAAAAAGACTTCATTGGTTAAATAGAACTCTTTTGACACACTAATGTGAAAATAATGGACACATATTACTGTTGAAGTTCAATGGAAAAGATATGATTGTGCAACTAAATAACAATTCAGTTTAACTAAATTTCTGAGTAAAAAATGTGTACACAAATTGTACATACATTTTGGCATCAAATCCTGCCCCTTTTCAAACGAACAAATTGTCTCTAAGAATTTTTCAATTTATAATACTAAATCTATCTCTCTTTTTGCTTCCCTGTCAACTTCAATCTACTGCGGCCTAACAATTGCAGTTGGTGTTCAATTAGAAAACACACTTATTTGTTGGGCCAGTTTTTTGAAGTTTAGGACTAGAATATTTAGGTACCATCTTTCAAAAATAAGAATATTTAGATGCCAAAAAATTGTTTCAGTCCATATGAAAGAAGTCGTTAGCTTCCCTAAAACACAAAAAAACAAAAATAAATTAAAAAAATAGCTTAGTCCATAAGAAATAGGGGACGCCAGTAGAGTGAACCAGTTACCAGTTGCTCCAAGTCGCAAGTTATTGACTCTTGACCAAAGAAATGGAAAATAAACAAGAAAAGTAGAAAATGTGAGAGCCCCTAGTGCATGCATATTGCAACGATGGACTCATGGTGGATAAAAGAGACGGTTAATCAAGACTTGATTTTGTATTTTCACCAATATTATTGTTTTATAGTGATAATATTTAAATTTCTAAAATAAAAAAAATTACAAATACAATATAGGATATCTAATTCTACGTAGACTTTATACAATTAGATCACATAGTTATATGTTTACACAAAACCATTTTTCAATAATGATGCCCATTTTTCTAAAATTGATCTATTTAAAAAGTTGCGCCTTCACACATATACTTGCCATTTTAGGCATGCATTTAAAGATCAACTTTCATGTTGATCAGCTTTTCCACACGTGACACGTGTATCATGTGATTTTCTGCATTTTTAAGTACGGCCTCCGTCCCTTAAAATTTTGCCAAAGTTGACCGGCACGGAGAATAATAAAGTAAAAATTGTGTGATTAATGTATGTGCAGAGGAGAGAGAAATAATAGAAATCAGAAAATAGTTGATTAAAAGGAAAAATGACAAAGTTTTTGAGACGTCCAAAAAAGGAAAGATGACAAAGTTTTAAGGGAGGAAGAAAGTATTAAATTTAAATGTTGAAATTTATAGTACTCACATCACGACGTCACGTACTTTGAATGCATTTAATGTATTAGAAATTTATTTTTCTAAAACTATGGCTAAATTCAATTCATTGAAATATCTAAATCTTAATTTTTAATAACTTTACTTATAGATATGATCAAAATAATAATAATTTTACTAATAGACAACTAAATAAACCAGCACAACGTCTTTTTTGTCCCTCTATGCTCGGTGAGGGTACCACTTTTCTTGTGATCTCCTTGTGTAGGTCTCTACATTTTAGGGCTGGGCAAATGAACAATGTCTTACTTTAAGCATGATATATTGTTCAAATTCGAACATAGGCTCAAATTCGATTCAAAGTTTTTAATACGGAGAAATATATTTTTTTATAGGCCAAATTATCAAATTGGTGAAAAACGATACTTTGTAAAATTGGTTAAAAAAACTCATGAGACAAACTGGTAAAAAAACAAAACTTCAACGATAAATTAATCAAGTTTTTGTGGGTGACAATTTTAGTCTCCAACTTTAGAATTCCCGACATTTAATTCCTAAAATATTATGAAAATTGACATTTATAGTTCTTCTAATGTGATTTTATCTTGAAAAGTGGATAACTACAAATTTCAATGATAATTTTTAATGATTAGCAACTGGCTGCTAGCTGATTGTCAATTGAATCAACACATTGATACTAACGTATTTTGTTAGTTGTTTTAGTCAATCACTTTCATCGGCAATTTGAAGTGAATCATTTAGTAAATCAGATGTTTGAGATTAGCAATTAAAGCGTAAACTGACTATTATGAATATGAATTTAAAAGTAAATATCTTTAACTTTATTTCTTTTTTTAATAAGTTTTGTAAAACGTTCTACACATTATACTTCGTATTTACTTTTATTTTATATAACTACTGCCACTATCATTTTTTACACATGTTACATGTACATTTACATGAGCACACACATAAATTCATTTATTCTTAGTATTGAATTTTAAATGTCTATTTTGTAATTTTTTTTGAAATGCTACTCCATATAAAATGGAAAAAATATTCATACCGATAAAATAGCAAAAATATTCATACACATAAAATAGTAAATATTCACAGCGATTTTATGGAGTAGAATTTTATAAATACTAATACTAGTAAATTGTTAGTTTTCACAATACTTAGAGGACTAAATGTGAAGAATTCTAAAGTTGATAACTAAAATTGTCTCCCACAAAAAATGACCAATTTATCATTGGAGCTTTATTTTTTACCAATTTGTTTCTGGAGATTTTTTTGCCATCCCTTTTTTAACCAATTTGGTAATTTGGCTGATTTACATATACAAATAAATAATACTTCCCCCGTCCCATTTATATTGTCCCGCTTTACCTGTTCGATAAGTCCCATTTAAATTGTCCCATACCATATTTGACAAAGTTTGTGTGACTCTAAATCATTCTTACTTTATTCTTACTTTATCAGTTAATATCAACCACACAAACCCACTTTTCTTACTTTATAAATGGGACGGAGGGTAATACTATGTATCAAATATTTGGTCATATACATATAAATGTGTTATGACTTGAGAGCTCGAGCTCAAATGGATTGCTCAAACTAGGGATGGACTCGAGCCGGGCCAACCGGCCCGGAACCGGACCGGCCCGCTACTGTGCGGGCCCGGACCGGCCCGGTCAACCGGTTAGTGCCCGGTTCGGGCCACCCGGCCCGGTAGGTTTCGGTTCCGGGCTAGGGCCCTCCATTTGGTGAACCGGCCCGGCCGGTCCGGGCCGAATTTAATTTTTTTTTTTTCTGAATTTTTTTTAAGTTTTTGGGTTGGGCTAGGTATTTTGGGCCATTTGAGGTGGTTTGGGGGTGAGGGGGGGGTGGGTTGGGGGTAGGGCTGGACTCAGGCCGGGCGGCCCGACCCGGGACCGAACCGGCCCGGTCACTGTTTGGCCCGGCCCGGCCCGTGGCCCGGTGGGTCCACCGGTTTGGTTTAGCCTGGCCCGGGTGCTGGGCGGTCCGGGCTCGGGCCCAGGTTTTGGTGAACCGGCCCGGGCCGGATTTTAATTTTTTTTTTTGAATTTTTTTTAAGTTTTAGGTTGGATTAGGTATTTTGGGTCATTTGAGGTGGTTTGGGATGGTTTGGGGTTGAGGGGGAGGGGTAGGGGATTAAATAGGAGAACAAAAAAAATATTAATTGGGCCGGTTCGGCCCGGCCCGGCCCGGTTTGGCCCGGAACCGGAACCGGCCACCGGCGGTTCGGGCTCGGGCCTCCCCTTTCCTGGCCCGAGGCCCGGCCGGGCCCAGGCCCGAACCAGGCCCGAACCGGCCCGAGTCCAGCCCTAGTTGGGGGTTAAATAGGAGAAGCCAAAAAACAAAATTACAAACCGGGTGGCCCGGCCCGGCCCGGCCCGGAAACGGACCCGGAACCGGTGGCTACCGGTTCGGGCTCGGACCCAACAAAACAGAACCGCGAACCGGCCGGGCCCAGGCCCGAACCGGGACCGGTCCACCCCTAGCTCAAACAAGCCAGCTCAAATTCGAGTTTTGACTAAGGAGCTCACGAGTTGCTCACAAGCGGCTTGACTGGATTGCATTCCAATTCATCTGTTGAAGCGTTAAAATTTGGATACATTACGATGGACATAAAATTCTACGTAGTATAAACTACAATGAAAAGTATAGCATCAAGCCTCTACGGTCGCTAATTAGTTATCCCAACAATGAAAGAATCAAACACCAATTCTTATATGGTAAGAGTCTTATATTAGTACATAATCTACTGCAGTCAATCTACTGGACACGGAAGGGTTTATAAATTATAATTAACCGGAAGTTGCGCTGCAGACAATTCCTTACCTATAATAATAAATTGTAATTGGTCCGGAACTGAACCAACTATTACTGGTTCTAGATAGAGTCTGCTTATTTGAAAACCAGAAATGGACCTGATCCCCGCCAATTTATTCAACATAACTGAAATTAATGCCAAAAACTGGATACATTCTAAGAGAGTGCCCCTTTGTCACAACCTTTATGGCATTTTTCTCAAACGAACATCTTATGTCGTAACTACTTGTACACAAAAAGTAAACCACCTGTATATCTTAAAATGGATATCTTAAAACTTCAATTCTGATTCATACGCCCTACTAATAAACTACTTTTTTTTTGCAAAAGCCAAAATTTCAACACTAAAAAATACGGAGTATAATATAGGGAAGGGGGCATGTGGATGTAACTGTCTCCTTGAATAAGAAATGCCATATTGCAAGTTTGACACTGTTCAAAGACATCTAATGTGTTGCAGACTTCAGCCAGGGGAACACACTGGGAGACGAGGGCAGTCGAGCGGTGAGAACTTCAACTCCTGTCTCAGTCACCTATTTGAACAAAGCTCATTAATACTCCTCAAACGCAAAGTTAATTATCTCGCTCATTTCACTGTTTTTGTCAAATTATAGAATATGTACTTTTTTTAGCTTTAATACACATAGTTCAAACTGCTATTTTACTGCTATTCTTGTGGCTAAAAGCACTTAATTTTCCTGCCAAGCACTTCTTTTTCGGGCTAGGAGAACGTTTTAAAATCACATATTCTTTGAGATAAAGTCATCTCAAACACACTATATTGGAAATAAGGATCGGTCATAGTAAGCTTATCAGTTCCGACCACAAGAAGCATAATCATAACCTCAAGACGAATGTTTGAAAGATTAAGTGGTTGGTTTGAAGCTAATTGCAAGGGTGCACCTACGTGCTAAATAAAATAGGAATCACCTCAACCAATTCAAATAAAATGCTTAAAACATACTAGCTCCGTCCCATAATGGTTG